TCAGGACTCCTTCTGACAGGACAGGACAAGTTTAATAGCTAAAACAAAATACACACATTTGTTTCAGATAGTTACTGGTTCTTCAACTCCGCTACCTCAGTACCAACGAGGCATACAGGCATCTCTCTGACGGAATACTCCCTGCCTGCACAAGCTGAACTCATGTAAAACCACAGGCTTCTACATTGTCCCTTCAGATGGAGTTTAAGAAGCAAAGACAGGGTTATCTCCCAAAAGGCAGAGCTCCCGATAGCACAGGCTTTGCTCAAAGGAACAAACACATACTTTTTCATGTTGCCCTTTCCTTGGGTTGAGATAAAAAGACCTTCCCAATGTTAAAACCGTCCACAGAGCAAGATCAAATAAAAAGCAGTCGAAAGGAAAGGGACTTGTATTTTAATAACAGCCTCCAGTAAAAGAAAGGAAAAAAGACAAAGCCCATACCTCCAAAACCTCAATGAGTTTTGTCATTAAATACAATTTTCTGAAATTTGGGGTTCTTATCCAAAGTACGCTGTCAGACAATTGATTTGCACCTTTTTCTGAGTCTTACTTTATATCGAGTGCAGGTGTCCCGGCGGTGGCGGCAGCACTGGGGATTGTGCCGGGGTGTCCCACCCGGACACCGCCAGTTCCAGTGGCTCCAGCGGCCCCAGCTCAGGGCAGGGCTGAGCCCCTCAGCCAAGGGCAGGTGGGTAAAAGCCCCGGGGAAAGCCTCGGCAAGGGAGGGCAAAACGCTGCCCGGCAGCCGGGGCTGAGGGAGGGGAACGGGGTGAGAAACAGCCCTGCGAGCTGAATTGGCAAACTATTTGAATTGGTAAAAAATTAAATTAGTTTTCCCCAAGTCAAGAGCTGGAGGATCAGTCAGATGGTCTGATTCAGATATCCACATTCTTTCTCTGTTCCACTGTTTCTTAGCTCTTAGGTTTACTCCTAAGAAGTTTAGACAAAAAGAAACATTAACATTATATATTTAGGCTGCTTGAGTATAGAAAAAAAGGTTCATCCCTTCAAAGTACAAAAATGAGAATTGCTTCCATGTTCTGTCACAATTTTATGCGATTTATGCCACATTACAAACTGCTATAGGAATTAAGAATTCCTAAGATGATATTTTACCAGCTCAGGTACAGCTCACACTGCCCTAGTTTTTGCTAATGTCAATCTATTTCCTTTGCTGATGTGCACGAGGTCATTTAGTTCTGGAAAGATTAAGTCCAATGATAATATGAACTAGTCAAATGGTTGGCAGGGTTGTAAGTAGGTTTGTATGGCCTGTCTACAGGGATCTCAGGATCTAGTTAAAATTAGGATAAATTTTAGTTTTAATGAATCAGTAACCAGGCACTGTTCATGATTATTAATTATTGATATTACAGCTCCTTATATAGGTCCTAGATAATAAGTGAGTTTCATTGTGCAGTGTAACTACACCTGTCATGAGACACTACTTCTCCTAAACCTTACAGTTCAAATGGAGAGGGAGATAAAGGCTAAGAAAAAAAGAAAGGAAAAAAATCAACACTCAGAGATGAAAGTAGTTACATAAGACCACGCCCCAAGGTCAATGACAGAAGAAGGGAGAGAAGCAGCTTTTTTAAGTCTGAACCACATGGTACTCACCCTGAGCTGAAATGTCTTTGCCATATTTGAACACAAGAGGGAACAGAGATCCCTTCCTGCCTCAGCCATTAATTGTATTCTGACTCTGCAAACTCAAATGCTTCCAAATGTCCCCACAGCTTCTTCAGTTTGTGTCCACTTCCTCTCCTAACTCCAAGTCATTATGCTGCTGATGGATTTTCCCAGTAAGAAAGTATTATCCTTTCCGTAAGACAAGACAGGCAAAACAACCACACTACAACATAAAAAGAAAATAATGCAAGTGCTTCAGCTGCTCCACCTTTCACCTCCATCTCCCTGCTCTGGAGAGGGGAAAAAAGCATATGTGTCATGTATATACTCTCCCTTGGTAGGGACAATGAGAGTTTGGCACAGAGGACAACAGATATATCTGTGTATGTCACATTCCTCTTCTTTCCTTGCACATCCATCTAGACATATCTAAAACAAGCCCAGAACACACCATTTCATGCTATTGAGGAAACTATTGTGATATCATACATCAAATGTATTACCTTCTAGAGTCAGAGTTTTGCCGCTGACTTTCGTAGGAACTGGATCTAGTGTGGAGAGGGATGATTTGTCACATAACATTGTGAATAGCTTTTAACCAGATACTTTGCAATTTAATAAAGCGTCTGTGCAATATTTCTAAGTTGACGAGGGCAAATCCTGTAAGGATTGAATTTTTAATTAAAATTGTTACTGCCTCTTTCCCCTTTTGGTGTCAAATAGATCATTTGCATATTAGAAATAATTTCCCTTAATATCTAAATAAATGTTCCACTTAATGAAAGCATTTAAGTAACTTTTTAATGAAAAAATGAAATATAATATATAGGACTGAGACTAATTTTCTTGAATTTTAACACATGTGGAACATGTTATGAACTAAGAGAAATACTTTTAACCTGATGGGCTGTAAATTACAACCCTTTGTGTATATTGAATTTTTAATTAATTTTCTTAGTCATTCTTCATAATCCTAATAGCTGACTGAAAAAAACTCTAGATGCCTTGGGGCAGATGGGGAGGGGAAGCGAGGGGGAATCGTACGTTTTTATTTCTGAGATGTTTAACAAAAGCCTCATAGCCAACAGTAATAAATAAATAACAAAATATTTAAATTATATATTCAATAGAAAGCCTGTTCAGGATGTACTTTGATATAACGTAAGTGCTCCATGAATATAGTTATTTATTTTTTCTTAACATTTTAAAATAAAACAGTAATGAAATATGCTCTCTTCCATTGTATTTCGTGTTAAAAAAGCTTATGTTTAAGAAATATCACTGCAGTTATTAGAGAAAGAATATATTATCTACATAAACAGGCATATTACGCCATAAGAGTGGCTTAGGTATTTAAATGACTTACATATCAAACCACAATTAGGGATAATTTGGGTCTTTCTTATTCTACTCAGAAACTCTGTCTCTACTAGAGCCTATTCAAGTTCTAAAACGGTATAGTTGCCTAATTTCTGAAGAAATATAGGTTTTGGGGTTTTTGTGTGGTTTTTTTTTTCTCTCCCCACTGGCTGATGTCATATATGTGTTGGACTGAATATTTTTAATAGCTGTTACTGTCTAATTACATTTTACAAATGCTGTTTCTTCAGAATTTTATTGTAAATTGATGTTATTATTTATGACAAAAACAGTTTGTTAAAGAATACAGAGGTTTTTTTTTTCCACCAAAGGACACACAGCATACAGACATTTCTAAGAAACAGCACTGTAGTTTAGTTCCCTGCATAGTATAACTTAATGTGATATATGCCTTCAAATGATGTTATTTTAATGATTCAGAGCTTGCTAGCTAGAGTTCACAACCTGTACATTTCACCTAGGTTTTCAGGTTCACTTCACACAAATACCATGATTCCAGATGAACTGCAGTGCAAACAAGTTCCACTTCATCTTGATTAGTGCAGTATCATCTAAGGACCAATTAAATTTACCTCTATGTGATAAGACTAAGGCCAGAGTTTCCTTTTCCTTTGACTGTAAGATAAAGACGTGAGTGGTCAAGAATCTAATTGCCATAAAAACGTTCCCTTTGGGCATACATAGGAACTGTATGCATAATAAATGGAGCTATCAAGAACATCCAAGAATCTTAAAGGAACCAAAAATCTTGTTGAATTTTAATATGATTTCATGTTGTGAGATCTGAAAAATGGGGGTTTTTGTCCTAAATATCTTAAGTAAAGGGAACTATTCAGTTACTCACTCTGGGGTCAGGAGCAAAGCAGTTTGCTCAGCCCACCTTCAAGTACTCACAAGATACCACAACTACCTGAGCAAAGTTGTTGGGTTTTTACCTTAAAAGATGATACTAGCATTCAGCCAGCCCGACTTTTGCACAAAAGTAGCCTTTGCTGCAAATAATCTGCAAGATGGTTTGGGTCCACATGTTTTTTAACACCCAATTGTGCAAAACTGACTAAGACTATTTTTAGAGAAAAAAATACACTGTGAATGATATTTTATGTTGTGGGAATGTTTTAGAAAGGTTAGAGAAATGATCTTGGATTTTAAAAACTTCTTTATTGAGTACCCAGAACTACAGAACAAATGTTGAAAGAAAGAATCAGTAAATGACAAGCGGAACAAAAAGCAAACATGGTTTGAGCACATGTAGGTTGTGACATTTGTCTGACATCTTTCTTTGAAAAAAATCAAGGATATTTCTTTGATAAGGATTTGTGAGACTAGGAAAATCTATTTAACTTAGGAAGGGGACAAAATAAATGAAAGACAACAATAGCTGACATTAAAAAGTGGTATATGGGTTCAAAGACAGTTACAAAGAAACCTTCTGAAAGGTTGGTCTTAGGTCTGACTTAAAAATTCTCATTGAGGACCTTGGTACTAAATTCAGCCTGATAATTCTGTTGATTATGTAATGTAAATGTACTGTCAGTGCAGGAAAAGATCAGAATCTTGCTCTTACCAAAAAAAAAAAGACCTTGAGGACTGAAACAAGGAAATGGAATGAGATTTCATAGCAAAGTGCAAGGTCATGCATTTGAGGATTAATAACAAGAATTTTCTCCTTTACGTGGAAAGTCATTAGTTGGAAATGTCAGAGGAAGAGCAAGATCTAGGTGTATTAGTCAATTATAAGATTACTATGAACCATCTCCGTGAAGTAGCCATGAAAATGTCAAAAGCAATCCTAGGATTTTTCAGGCAAGGTATTTCACAAAGAAATATGGAAGTATTAATGTCATTGGAGCAGGCACTCCTAATATATCACCTGGAATACTGCATATAATACAGGTCCATCATGTTCGAGGAAGATGTATTGAATGTCAGGTATATTTCTGCTGAATGTTAAACCTGAGTTCACTGCTAGCAAGCCTACTTACCACTACTGTGAAGTCTTCAGTCAGAGGACACTGATATGAGCTATGAGGTTGAATTAGTTATTCCCACTCTCCTCCTGCTCTTTTCCCTCGATGGAGATGATCTAACTGAAGTGTTGTTAAATGCAGTCACTGTTTGTAAAACACTACATAAGCACAACTTGGAATGGGAGCAGAGAAGAGCCACACTGATGATCACTAGAGTAGAGAGCTTCTCTTGCAAGGGGAGCCTAAAAGATCCTGGGTCAATTAACCTAGAAAATCTCATACTGTGATGGGATATATTAATTCAGTTCATTCATTCATTTACTCATTCATTCAAAATAACAAAATTAATATATTTAGGGCAGAAAATAGAATACATTTCAGTAACACAGGAGGACGGAGGGAAGCATGTTTTAAATAGGAAAGTGGTCTTCCTTACAGAATTTGAGATTTCTGTTTTCAAACCCCTCTTTGCACATATGTTGCCCCCTCTCCCACACTGTCATACACACATATTAGTGTGCAGACAGACACTAGGCTGCCTTGTAGTTTTAAATTTAAAATTTTGACATTTATAAAGCTTTCAGTTTTACATTTGACTCGACATAGGGTAAGTGCTGCATTTTCCAACTGGAGTTAGCACTATCACACAGCATAACAGCTGGCATTAAAATGTCACCATTGTTTTCTTTATTCAGTGTCTTCCTCCAGTCTTACGTCTACACAAAGCACAAAGTAGGTAAACATGGCTGTATAGTCTCCACATAAAGTAAGTAAATGTGACTGTAAAATATGAAACTCATTTTAGATGTTACCTTTGCACGTATTATTTCAAAGGAATAATAGTTTCCCCATGGAAGGAATTTACAGTGTGAAAGTATAACATTACATTAACTTAAAATGTTTGACTTCTGGAAAAACACCCACCAACCAAAACATTTGCCAGTTGGACAGGTGGATGATATCTGGGATGTTCAGTTAGAAGGCTAATCTTCACCACAACACAGACCTGGCTCAAATAAAATAGCTGGGACTTGTGTCGATGTATTTTAGGGAGAATTTAAGTGAGATTGCATAGTATTTACTAACAGCAGCTGCTAAATTTGCATAATTTGTGATACCTTAAATGAAGGTTACAAATCTTCAAGTGATATCCTTGTGAATTGTGCTGCTTTAGTATATGTGTTGCACTGATTAATCTCTCGAGACTTTGTTCTTGAATTTGCACAAGGCGTTAAAGAACCTTGGATGAACTGTTTCAGAAGCACTTTTTTATTGTCTCCAAAGTCCTGAGCTGGAATTTGGAAGAAACTTATTCAGGTTTGCAGATAATGTTGATGGAGGTCAATGTAACAACTGACACTCACAGGTCCTTACAGCTCAACACCTCAAAGTCTAGAAGAACAATTTTTTGAAAGAAGAAAATAACCCTATTCCCAGTATACTTTACTTCCATGAGAATGGACTGAGAAGACAAGATAATGCTGAATTGGAAATGAACAGCGTTTTCTATGTGGCTTCTAGACTTGATGAAAATGTGAGTCACTCCCTTTTACAGGCCCCAAACAAACTTCTGTTCTTAGGTGTGGTTGCTGCTACAGCAAATTACAGCACAAGAGCCTTAAGATGTAGGAATCACAACTGTAATTTGCAACATATTCTCATGTTAGATGGACAAAATATCCAGAATAACAGAGTTCCACCAAAGTTTATGGAAGAATAAGGTGAAAAAGAAACAAGAGAAACAGGAGGGTTCTGCAAACAGTCTTACCCTGTAGTCCTATGACGCTTGGTATTCTTGGAATTCCTCAAATTGGACATATGTGTAGGGCATGCGCGCACACAATCAGAGGTTGCCTCACCACTACACTTGGAAATTTAGCTGGGTAGCTGTCAATGACATTACTATTAGTAGGCCTAAGGAAAAAAAATGGTTATGCATGTAAGAACTGTTCTAATTGCACAGTTGCGCTCCTCTGTAGTGCAGATACATAATTACCAAAAATCCCTTCTATTAATGACTTACGTCAAAGTATTTAGCAGTAATATTTTCTATAGTCCATTCCTAGTCACAATTTAATAAAATCTCCTCTGATTTTCTTCAGTAAACCAATCTGTGGACCTTCAAACCTCTTCCAGTATTAATACTCCTTTGTTTTCCAACTGCTGACTTTAGCTTTACTGCTGATATTAAAGAGACAAAGGTAATAAACTGTCTAATAGAAGAGTGAAGTCAGATTATTTAACTTTCTCATTGATTTTTTTTCTTTTCAAATGCAAGAAATATTGATAGCATTAATAAGCAGGTTACATTGTGTAATTAGGTTTAGAATTTACTATGGAAATATTAGATAAAAGAGGATAGAAATACTTCCAATAGTTTAGCTTCTTCCATTGTAACAGAACAGAAGATTATGCAGAATCTTCACAAATGTACTCCATGCAGTGTTTTTTGTACATAATCTCTGCTTCAATCTAATTAGAGAATGATGTCAGTGAGAAGTTCTCATCTATTTGTGTTTTCAGCATTGTCTAAATTTATGCAGCATCTATGTGTCAAATGGTAGGCCCTGCCTGAGGTGAAATGATTTCTTTTTATGATAGAGATGTTTTAAAACACCTAGTGGGATTTTGGCAGGAACAAAATGTGCATGAAAAAATAGAGTTCTGGTTCTGTTATCTAATCATATTGAATGTAAAACTTATTTCTGTAGACTCTTGTTCTGGTCTATTGTCATTCAGATAACAAAAACAAAGACTGATAAACCAACTCTTTTTTTAAAAAAATGATCCAATCAGATCAACATGTTTTATTTTATCAAAGGTTTGAAAAGGAAAGCATCAAGAGAATGTCATCAAAACATACCTACATTAAAGACTAAGATTCCAGCAACACAAAATGAGGATTAAAAAAATACAACTAAACCAAACTTCCAAATAGGTAATTAAAAAATAGCTTCTATTGCACAGTTTGTTTTAGTTACAGTTTGACTGTCTTTGTCAAAATTACTGTTGTAATATCAAATGTGCAAAACAAGGAGGATTTCATTTTGAAGTGTACTCTTAACAGTTAATTTCACTTGAGTTCAGATAAGCTTCATGTAGCCACTTTGGAAGATTTCTATTAAATGTCATGCATAATTACATAAAACTTGTAGAAATTTATAATCATCATACTTTTGGATGCTTTTGAGGTTCTGGAGAACCTCTCAAGCAGTACTAGTCTGATACTTAGCTTTCCTGTTAAGCAGCCAGCTGTCTTGAAATTCAATTTACAAAACGTTATTCATTCATTTTCCGAGTAATCAGTTTAAACTTGAACAAAAATATTGAATTGACTCTGAAAAAATGTGACTGCTACATTCTCGAATAAAATATGGTAATTTAGCCTGGTCTTTTATTTGAGGTTGTTGCTCTTTAATAGCGTACTGCAGAATTTTCATTTGAGAACAGATTCTTTGGTTTTACTTTCTTTTTGTGGGCCTAAGAACACCACTGTATCTGATTATTCAGAAAAAAATATTTTTTATTAAAAAAAATTACCAACATCGTCATAATATCATCTCTCAATGGCTGTTTTACAAAGTAGTTATCCTAAATTTCTCATCTGTCCAAACTGACCAACAGCTAGTTCCTCTGGTTTTGGTTGATATGTAATTAATAAACTGTGTGTATGAATCCAATTTACATGGTTGAATAAAGATTGATCAGGTTACATTTCAAAAGAAGTGTGAGGCTGAGTACAACTGTACAAAAGTACAGTACAATGCAGGAAAAAAAGTATTAATTTCTCTCAAAATACCTCATCATTTTCCAATAGATTAGTAATATACTACAGAGTTAATATGAGAATGGGTTTTATGAAGTCTTAATGAAATTAAGAATAACAAAGGTGTTCTAACAATTAGGTGAAGTTGTTGTTTTAACCTGAGTAAAAACTCACCTTCTATTCAGTATAAGTGATTATATGTATGCCTAAAGCAGTGATCCCTTCAATGCCAGAACATTGACATTTGTGATGTATATGTAAAAAATAAATAGATAATGTTGTAGATATATTAAAAGCCACAGAGGGAATGTCTTTTGGATAGTACATAGGATGATCAGCATCCTATTTTTTAAGAAGGAGTAAGACAAGAGTCTCTTTCTTTATTTCTGTGTATAGGTCTCTGTAGTATTTTCCATATTTTAATATATTTATTTTATAAATAAACTATACTTTTACACTTAATTTTTATATTGTGCTACACTTACTTGCCATAACGAGGTGACACAATACTAATCTGAGAGAACATACTTATAGTAGTCAATGCATATGGGAGTACTTTGTCTTCACCCTTCCTCCTTCTTCGTTTTATCTCTTAGTGGTCTGGTATATATACTTTGTAGATGCCTTATCTTCATCAACCATTAGAAGGCATGAGAATGTATACATTCCCAATATGCATATTTTCATGCTACCCCGCATACTATAAAAAACTATTTTATAATTCAGATCTGGAAGTGAAAACTATGTAACAGGCACTACCTCCAATTTTCAAGTAGTGGCAGTGGTAAAGAGAACTTTGTTTTATATGGGTAAGTTTTTTAACTCAAGTTTGTCACAGTTTAGCACTATTCACAAAAAGCCTTGGATTTCATTAATTGGCTACACCAATTAATTATATTTCTCACCATCTTTTCTTTAAATTGAAATAACCAGACAACGAAGGTCCTCAGAGTCAAGACTAGACCCAGTCTGGGAGGTTACTGGGGAAAAATAATGTGTCTATCTCTACAGCACAGGGTTCTACCCTAACTGTAAGCCAGGACTTTCTTCAGTATTTGCCTGCAAAGTCACTGTGTGATGGGGGTTACACCACAGCCTGTTGAGTACCTGAAGACAAGACGTGTAACCAAAGCTGAGACCGAACTCAGAAACAGATCAAACATCTCAGTCCCTCATTTCAGTAATTTTATTGGGTTCTCTGCTGCTGCGACCTAAGATCATCCTGAAGTATGTGTCAAAATGTTTTGTATGTTTTCATTTATCTGAGTCTACATGTGCAATACTGTTTAGCCAATTCCTCCGTGTTTGTTTGCCTCAGTCATTGCCCTGTCAAGGTGCTGGGTAGTGGTGTATGCAGCAGGAGCACTCCTCCTGTGCTAAGCACATCAGGGTGGATTC